TTTCTTGTAAGATTGGCACTTTAGCCAAGTGTAAGTGAGTCTCGAAATAATCCATGGCCTCCCCTTCTTGAATCTCTGCTAAAATCTGGTAGTCTCCAAAACAAATGATGCACTTCCATGGCAGATCAATTTTGTTTAAGTAACCCAGTTCTGTTTGGTCTACCATCAACTTTGTTTTCTTGCTCATGTTCTTTATCTCAAAACAAAATTCTGAGCTGTTAAGTTTTCTGTAGAACTGCAGTGAAAACTGGATCCTAGAAACACGAGTATCCACTAAGTTATAATGGCAGACGTTAGAATCACGGCCAAACTTGGCCATTTCATCTGCCCTGACCTGTTCTCGCTTACAGAAATTCAAGCAACGAAACATCATCTTGTCTTGTTGGCAGGGATGGTAAAACGTCATGTGGAGGCATGTTGCTGTTTCTTCAGTTTCATCTTCTTCAAAAGAGGTCATGGTGAAATGAGTCCTCAAAAACACAAGGAAAGGTAAAGTTACAGCATTAAATCTCTGCAGAACCAAGTAAATTGTCTATTATTTAGTGGCTGTATGTATTTTCTAGTGAATAGGCTGACAACAAACCTAAGTGAAGCACCGAACAAAGAGTGGGAGTTGAGCACGCCCTACCCATGATAACCATCATTTCCTGCCACTTGACTTGATGGGGGCCAAGTGGCAGACTGCTCTATGCTAGCCCCTTCCCAACAGTTCATCTCCTGTCTGCTGCCATGGATCTGTAATGTGTCAGAACTCTGAAGACCACACATAACTGTTAATGCCTACAACCAGTTCATCATGAGGACCTCACAGGTGGGTTTATCTCTGAAAAAATAGATGGCACTTAACAGTGACAGTAAGACTGGCTCTGTGGGCTTACAGAGGAGTGATAGTAGCACAACCTGTGTCTCTGCACACTACTTTACAGTGTATGCCTTTGTCTAGATATCAGCCAACTTGTACACATGCCATCTGACAGTAAGCACTGATATTTCAAATGTGAACACTATTATAATAGTAGTATTTTTTCTCTCTCTAAAGAGAGTTCGCCTCTTTTATGAAACCAAATACAATGGTTAGAAATGATTTCATGTGGCAGTTTGTAAAATGAATGCAAAAGCTGGAATATCAGAGTCCCAGGAGAAGAATTGTCACCTATTCTGGGAATTTCTCTGTACCCTGCTAGAAAGTCCCAGCTCTCTGCAGAAGTATGTCTGCAAAAAAGACATTGAGGCCCTGGAGTGGGTTCAAAGAAGGGCAACAAAGCTGGTGAGGAGTCTGGAGCAAAGGCCTTGTGAGGAGTGGCTGAAGGAGCTGGGAATGTTCAGTCTGGAGAAGAGGAGGCTCAGAGGAAACCTTATTGCTCTCTACAACTGTCTGAAGGGAGGTTGTAGTGAGCTGGGGGTCGGCCTCTTCTCATGTAACTAGCAGAATTAGAGGGAATGGCTTCAAGCTACGCCAGGGGAGATTTAGGTTGGATATTAGGAGTTAGTACTTTTCTGAAAGAGTGGTCAGTGGTGGAGTCGCCGACCCTGGAGGTGTTCAAGGAACAGTTGGATTTTATGTTGAGGGACATGGTTTAGTGAGGGTATTGGTAATAGGTGGTTGGTTGGACTGGATGATCTTTTAGGTCTTTTCCAACCTTGGTGATTCTGTGAGAAGTACTAAACTAGGTGCCAAAACAAGAAAGCAAGCTTTATCAGGGTGTTTTTTTGTTTGTTTGGTTTTTTTTTGGAAAAGCTTTTGAAATGCAGCACAGAGTTACTTATGAACTATATTCTGTTTAAAAATCTGAGTAATAGCAGCACATCCTAATATAAATCTGTGAAGCATTTCAGGAACCATTGCAGTCTGGTCCTTTGTAAGTGCAAGCCCAGTATTTTCCTGCACTGGAACTTAGTCTGAAGAAGGAAAAGATTATGTACTTAAAGTGGGAACCTAAGAATGAGCTCTGTTGCTAGCCAGAGAAGTGTTATTAAACAGCATTATTTGTAAGCTGCCATTTAACTGCAAATATAAAGTGCATATGCTTTGTGTTTCTCCTAGATCAGCTGTCTTACCAGCTCTGTTCTCTGAATCATGCTGGATGAATCCTTACAGTGTAAGCCGTTGTTTTATGGGTAGCTGAATCATCGCTGTTTATTCTGACTTCTTGTTTGTAAGGCTATATTATACCACTGTAAATAAGTTCCAAGCACAATACATGGTTTATCAGTATGCCTATCTACTGGAATCCCTTCCTTCCCTGACCTTTAGCACACCAACAGCAGCAGTTGTGACACAGGAATATAGCTACCACAGCTTGCTTAGCTAAGTAGGCTACAGAAGTGCTTCTGCCAAGCATAGATATTTAGAGAAATATAAAACTTCAAGCAGATCTCAAAGCTCACTTGAAAACTAACTTGAGCATACGATCCGTGCTTTTGAAGAAAGTATAAAGACTCTCTGGTGGCAGAGAGTCTTTGTTATTCCTTTGTCATCTGTGAGATATGTTTCCATGGCATCTGCATCCATCCCTTGTTCCAGCAGTATGCTTCAGCCCCAAAGCACAGCTCTGTGTGAAGGAGAGTGAACTTTTGCTTTCTGTGCACTTTTCTGCCTTTGTCACTGTTTCGCTCCAGTAAGAGGATGTGAGATGTTACACAAGGTCAGCTTTGGCTCAAGGGAAGGCTAAAGGCTTTGGGGAAACCACATCATTTCACTGAGTTCACAAGTCAGTCTACAGAAACTCAGTTCTCTGTCTTAAGTTCTGGGTTGAGTTTGGTGCCAAATTACTGCTAAATGAGTTTATTAGATTGTATGGCACAGCAGAAAGATTTTTAAGAATATTATCCAGAGGAGGAAACTGACCATAGTTAAAAGCAAAGATTTTTCCTGCAACTGTAAGGTAGCCCTCTGTAATGCTGTTGTCTGTACCTTCAATTGAGTCAGTCAAGATTTTACCTCCTTCCTTTCTTACAGCATCATCTCTTTCAGTGTACACCACTATCCCCGTTTTAAGAGACAGAAGAGTGACGCTTAGAGTTAAGAACAAGGTTGCCTAACTTGAGAAATCATAGCACTCCACCTTGAGTGTTTTAACTGGTTGTTCAATGGTGATAGCTTTACCGTCAAGCTGGAGTTCAGGGCACACTGCCTGTTTGCTTCCGTAGACACAAACATAAATTTTTCAGCCTGAATACAAAGAAAAAAGGTACATCCACTTTGTTTTTTTGCCTTTTGTTTTAAATAACCACCAACATCAGGGTGCTGTGGAAGGCTTTCAAGGATGATACCTAAACATGGCTACCCTTTCTGCCTCCAGGAATGCAGGCTGCAATCACTCCCAGCAGCGAGGGACAAGGCAGGAGGCCAGCAATCAGCAAGTTGCTTTTCAGCCTCTAATCATTACTGGACAGGTTTGTCCTGTGTGGTTGGTATCTTAGGTGCCTAACACAGACAATAGTCCATTATCACCAAATTAACATTTTGCACAGGTGAGTACAAAGAGCAACCATCTCCAGGCAGGTGTACCTCTCGTAACTTTGGGGTGCTCAGTATCTACAGCCTTAGCCTTGTTAAAATGATATTTGCTGTTTTTACAAGAGAACATACTGGAAGTGCTGCTCACTCTCAGTCCTGCACGTGCACAGAGTGCCTATGGGGCAGCACAGATCCTGCTCAGCCTTCCAGCCACCAGACACAGCTATTGTAGGATTGGCACATCCCAAACTTTAGATGCAATGCAGCCACCTATTCCACAAGACACTGAAGGAAACCCAAGCTGAATCTATCTCCTAATGCATCTGCAGAGCTGCATGACAGCAGTTACAGGTGGAAGCCACGCTGGCTTCATTAATTCCCTCTGGAGCAGGAGGGACACTCCACTTTCTCTGCTGCTCGAAGCTGTGACCCCTCCAGGCCTGCAGGACCACAGCGACCTCTGGACCTGCAGAACAGGGGCAGGGAAGGAGAGGCCTGGGGTGGAACTGCTCTGCACACAAGTACTTGGGTTGTTTTTTTCCAAAAAGCATAGGGAGTTCAGCTTTGTCTGTGGTCATCTACTCAAACCAGCTCAAACCAGCAGTCGTGCTGCTAACCAGGTCTACATGCTCCAGGGCTTGTGGGTTTGACTTTTTTGAAGAATTCAAGTAGTTTCAGTTTTATGCCCCTCCCCTTCAAGTTAACAGCATATAGTAACTACAAAGCATGTTTTTGACAGAACTGGTAACATTTTAAAATTAAGCATTTACAAGTATTTGGTTATTTTCTTGTGCTTTAAGCAATGCCGCTAAGAAAGACAGCACTCACTGCTCCTGGGCTGCTGAGCCTGGCTGAGCTGAAAATACCTGTTTGCTAGAAGTGCGTGGCAGTGCTGCTGACTGACAGGAATAGCGAGCCCTTCACTCCCTCCCTTCCTGTTTTCCCTACTAAGCAAGGTTACTCCCACATCCAGAACAGGGGGCAGCACCCATAGCAGAAGGGTTTGAGCTGTTCTTAGCCCCGTGCAGTTCCATATCCCTCTTACCTGCAAAGTGCTGTAGCCCAAAGGTGTTGTGCTCCGCTGAGTACCAAGGCCAGGTGGGATGAGGCTGTGGGCAGCCTGATCTGGCAGGTGGCAGCTCTGCCTGTGGCAGGAGTTGGAATTGGGTGATCTTTAAAATCCTCTCCAACCTAAGCCATTCTATGGTTCTCTGATAAGTACGATGAGCTTCAGCTCAAATAAACTGTTTCAAGTGCAGTTTCTTTTATTTACCTGATAATCAGGTAAAGCACCTACAGCTTGATAAGTTATTTAGCAACAGCCCTCCCACTATGGCATTTATCTGCACCCAGTGTCTCTGCTGCGTGTGCCCTGCTATCATTCAGCTGGCTTTGAGAGCAGAGAAGCAGAGGTCCCCCCACCACTGACTTACCGAGTGCTGGGCTGCAGCAGGCTGGCTGTACACACTGTGGCTCACTGCCGTCTGGAAAGCCTGGAGTTGTGCAATGCTGCATGTGCTGCTTCTTGTAACCTCTGCCAGCCCCTCATTTCCGCATACAGCCTGTTTACAAGAGCATGGCACAGTGAGAGCTTTCCTGGTGAGGTTATTTTACTGTGTGGAGATATTGAGGTAAGTCCATGCTCTTCCTGCTAATTTTTGCCTAGAAGTTGTTAACTATATCTTTCCTGGTAGTTTATGAACTTAATACTGTGCTACATGACTTCATTTAGATTCTGGCTGGGACTGGATTTTCTGCTCCTCTCTTCTCTAAGCTTTGCACTGGCTGAAATGCTGCCAGCTTTAGCAAGATGATCTCAGCCTTCCCCTATGAGTGAAAAATCCCCGGCACTTTCTGCAAAAATAGCTACTTGGTTTACCAGAGTTTATTGCTGTGTTAACTTTTTTCCCTGTCCAATTGAAATTTCTTTAGTTAAAAGCAAAACTGCAAGTAATTGTGCTGCCAGGCAGCGTGGTGTGGTGGGACCAAGGCCAGCCCTGCTCTTTGTGGTGCCCATGCAACTGACTTCTCCTTTGGGTCTTTTCAGAACCTGTGCAGCTTTCCCCAAGAATGCTTTCCTTTCTGGAGGATGAACATGAGGTTTGACCGCACAGCCAGTCCCTGGATTGCAAGGATGATTTTGAATGTAGAAGTGGGTGGGGCTGTTCTCTTCTCACAAGGCAGCCTGCATTTCCAACACTCTGTTCATTGCCTTTCCATTCATAAGGGAATAGGACTTCTTGAAAAGCCCTGCTCGTTACGTTAAGTGCAATGGTTTCTGCTTGTATACGACCAGCATGGCTTCTCTGTGTTGCTTCCGGTTAGGAACCTTAGCTGCCTCGGCTAATTACGTGTAATGACTAACTACAGGAGGCTGTAGTACAGAGGAGCATTGGGATTGGTTGGTGTGGTGTTCTTCTATAACTTTGATCTGATCCCTGAGGTTTCAAGTAACTCCACATCCCAAACAAGCAAATCAGGAAAAAATAGTAGGAACTCTTAAATTGCTTTTAGTCATTATCAATTTGAGAGAAACAGAGTTACTGAAAGCAAATACATCTCCTATTTTCATAGACTCATAGAATCAGAATCATTAAGGTCAGAAAACACCTCTCAAATTATTTCATCCACCTACTACCAGAATTTCCCTACTAAACCATGTCCCTCAGTGCCATATTTTCATGGTACTTGAATATCTCCAGGGCTGGTGACTCCACCACATCCCTGGGCAGCCAGTGCTAGTGCCCAACCACTCTTTCTGAGATGGAATTTTAAGGCAATTCATGTTTGTCTTTGTGGGTTGGTGAGTGAAAGGACTCCATTTGGCTACGTGTTCCTACTAGTTCTTCCTGAGTGACTAAACAGGAAACCTTCCTTCCCAACAAGCTTTGAGAAACTTTAGCAGAGCATACCAATGTGGGGGATTGTTTCTTTCCTTTGGTTGCCCTGGCAAACTGTGCAGGTGGCATGGCTGTTCATGATGGCCCTGTGGTGCAGGTAGGGGGAACGTGTGCGCGTACGTAACAGTGTTGGGGGGGATAAAATCCTCGCGGTGCCCAGCACAGGGCTGCAGGGGGGTCGGTAGGTGGCAATGTTCGACCAGCCACCGGGAAATGGCGTTTTCGTGTTGCTCGAGCTGTCGGGGCACCTGAAGTTAACGGTAGTAATTTCAGCGATAGCTTCCAGCAGTTCGTTTGGGAAAGGCGTAACAGAACAAGTAACAACCTGCAGCGGGGTTCTGCAATTAATTGTTGTGACTTTACAGCAGCAGAGTGTCTCCTGTTCAAAGAGAAGAGAAAAAGTTTCTCAAAGGCTTATTTATTTGTGAGCTCCTTATTCCAAGTATAAAGCAGGGCATTCAGGTGGAGCTCACAGTGAGACCAGACGTGCGCTAGAAAGAGTGGCTTTCACTGACACTCCCGATACCATCTCCAAGAACCACAACGTGGTGAGAAGGTATTCCAGAGGGAAAAGGGAGTGCAGTTCCCTCTGTATTTTATTTACTATGTTGCTCCTTTACTTGGGAAAAAAAAGGACTCTGTCATTTCCCATCTCGTTTGATCTGAATAAAGCCCCAGTGAGGAATTCCATTTCAAGGGGACTGGATGGGCTTCACTTACACTACTCCCCCAGTTTTGTCATCTTCTTCCTCTTCTTGCACCATAGTTTGTCCTTGATCCTTCTGCCAAGCATATCTTGTTCTAACCCTTCTAGCCTCTCCTTTACCTCAATTCTCGTCCATCCTCCTGCCCCTCTCGCTGTCTGTGAAGATGTTCTTTATGCCTTGGAACCCCTTCTTCTTAGCAGATGTGTCTCCAGTTTGTGCCGCTATGAGATGGACGCTACTGTAACTCCAGATTTTATGGGACAAGAAGAAGGCAACACCATAGAGCAGGTGTTCGCTTCTTGCTCAAAATTAAATCTGTAATCCCTAATGTGGAAGAAAAAATTGTTAGCTCTTTCACTTTTTTTTTTTTTTTTTTAAGTTGGAACAAAAGCTAGATACTTAAGCATGTTGGAGCATCACATTTTTCAGATTAGCGTCTTAATGCATTTCAGTAGAATTAGAAATGAAAAATCATTTGCGTAACAGAAGCGTGCTGGGGATGAGTATTCTCTCCACAGCTGCTGAGTGTAACTGTGCTCATTCCTCATAGATCTTGAATAAAAGAGTCCCCTACATTTTCTTAAAATAGTTAGAAAGAATTGGGATTTTTTTTTTTGTTTGTGAGCTCTACCACAGTTCTTTGTTTGCCAATAATTGGGATTCTGGCTTTCAAATTATTATTTTTTTTTTGTGGTCATTTCCTTTCTTCTGTACCTGGAAGACTCTCTACCTTCAACCTTTAATGGTTGAAGTTTTGATCCCTGTATAAGGATCTACACTTACAAGTCACTGCACTTTCAGCTGGCATATACATCTTCTCATACTTATGTGCGTCCACATGACTTTATGGAATCTTGTTCAGACTAAGAAGGTAAAATGCATGCTATACAGCATTTCCTTCTGTAGTTGTTCCTGGAAGTTTACAATCTGTGTGTGATTCTGATATTTTCTTAGCTGCAGATAACCCCTCCTTAGGTACCATGTAGACCCTCATCACGACAGCTGTTTTTGACCTTGTCAAATTTTCAAGCTAAATGTGGTCAGTCCTTAAAAAGGCTTACTGAAGAGGCGTCTATGCTGCTGTAGGTAATGCAGCACACAACATGACACTCTGGCTTACCTTTGTGCATTAGGGAGCATGCCAGGAAGGGGAAGCCCATCTTTCATATCAAATCTCGCACCGACGAGCTAAACAAGAGAAGACTTGGTGCACTATAACCATCAGGTAACAAATTCTTCATAATCCCACTGACCAACCCTGACCATTAAGAGACCTTATTCACTGTAAGAACTGAAATAATAGTTCATATTTCTTACAAAAATTTCAGCCAATGAAGGTATGTTCTTTCTTGATTATAGCCCTTGCATTTCAGCCTGATATTCTCTTCTCTTTCCTCTTCTAAATTAGAACTAAACTGTGGAAACTGCCTAAAGCTGGGCTTTCTCAAAGTGACCAGACATCAGCTCTCATCAAAGATATTGCAATACATTTTGTGTAGTGGCAAGTATTTTAAACACTCTATTGGGAATTGATAAGATTCTAACAGTGATAAAAGGTATTTTTCTGCAGTAAATAATCTGTTTTCATTTGTGCTGAAGCAAATCCGTCGGTACGTAAAAACCGTGACAATTGAGTTAGACTCCAGTGAAGTGATTTCGCTGAAAGCAGAAGCTTTGGGACTTCCTCCCAAATGCCACCTATGTATTCCTCTGCGTTCACAACAGGAGTGCTGTGGTGTTGTGTCCTGGGTATACAGTGACACTTCTAAATTTGTTGGATGACAACATTTTGGATGAAATACTATTTTCATAGCAAGGAATTTACATGTTACCTTCACTGGGGCTGAGGTTTAACCACAGAGACTGGATCTACTCACTCTATCTGGCTGCATGCTGTTTCAGTGGAGATGATAGGCACTGTGCACAATGCAGACTAAATGTAACCATCCTTTCCAGATTTCTTTAAAAGCAGTGATTTAATATATAAAGTTATTTTGAAGAGTTAAAGATAAGCATTAAAATAAACTGGCTTTTGCTGATATATAACAGGAGTAGTAGTTCAGTGTTTCCTGTTTTTCCTTTGAATTTGTGTAGATGTTAAAGATTCCATATTCTGGACTGTGTGGCAAGAAAGATACTATTCTGTTATCGCGCTTTATAGCATTTAAGGGCACCCAATTGTAAGAAATGCAGCCTGTCTTGAAGGTGTATGATGCCTTTATTTTTCTTTAAAGATATGCACGATCCTGTCCAGAACTGCTCTGCCTATGATGTCTTTGTGTTGTGGAGTTCACTGGCACAATGCAACACTACCCATTTTCCTTTGATGTCAGCTGTAATTATAGTTTCTGGTCAATCAGTGTGGCATTGTCATTGCTCCATCATCTTCCATCTCCTTCCCATTCTGGGTTATATTGGCAGTCTTTAAAGAGTGAGCCACGGTAACCTTCTGTATTTCAGAAACCAGTCTGTGAGACAGAGCATCCCTGTGAGCTGTCCTGTGGTGTTTAGGAGATAGGTATTTGTATTACCTCAGGCATATATGCTCCAGTCACAAATTGTCACTAGAAGGTGGGGAAGGCAGCCTTGTACCTCTTTCCTCACTCGGGACTAGGGCAACATTGCCCCTTACAGAAAATCTCAGTGTAAAATAGAATTTTACAGCACAAGGAGCGTTGGTTTAGGGGTTTGTGTATAGTCTCACAAGGGAACGTTGTTCAATAGGCTTCAAAGTGATTCAGTCATGGCACAACGGTGGTTGTGGCCACATGTAATATACCCTGTAGCTCTTTAAAGAGGATTAGCCTTAGATCAGGGACAGCATTCATTGCTGGATTTCATGTAAAGTAGAGTATGCTAATGAAATGGTAATGTCTACAGCAAACATTGCATAATATTGTAAACCCTCAAAATTGAGCATTGTGTCATGATATCTCTGCTGGAAGTCAAACTTTTATATTCCGTTTGTTGCTTGGAGAAAAAACTGAAGCTTTTAGTATCATCACAATCTCTCCATAGAGAAGA